AAAAAATAGATAATTGGATTTCATCAAAATGTGTAACTTTTGTGTTTTGGAGGATACTATCTAAAAAGTGAAAAACCCCACTAAATGGGAGAAAATATTTGAGAATCACATTTTAAAAAATAAATTATTTTATTATTATTTTAAATTTGCTATAGGACACATGTACTCACCAGAGACAGATGGAAAGTATGAAAGCAAGCCACCAGGTCCACGACTTAAACATTGGTTGGCTATGTGGAAGTCCAGCACCTCAACCACTCTGCCACCTGCTGGCCTCAAAGAATCCCATTTTTTTATTTAAAAGAACTATTTTATTTAACTTTATTTACTTATTTTAATTTGACCAGAGAGGGAGAAGAGAGTGGGGAAAGGAGTGAGTAAATAAGCCACTAGGTCTGGTACTGGAATCTCAGTCAACCATGTGGGGGTCCAGCACCCTTAACCACCACGCCACCTGCAGGCCCCCAAATCACATTTCCAATAATGCTCTAGTATCAAACCAAGGCTGAGTCTTATTTGTCCATTTGTATAGTTGAATTTTATTATTACCTCATGTATTTGTTTTCTTTTTTTAATTTGCCAGAAGGTGTGTATATTTACTGGGGACAGAGAGGAGTGAGAATACTCTCTCCATGGGACATGGTCACACCACAGTCCCTTTTCCTCCATTTGTCCCTCCTTTTAGGATTCTGGGTATGCACACATTCCTGGCGTGTTTCTTGAACTGGTATGTGTGGCTTTGTTGGATCCAGCTGCCTTGACTTTCAGGCTCACAGGCTGGGCTATCTCATCTATTAGTAAAAAGGTTTGTCTGTTGGTGCCAGCAGGAGGCGTGGTGGTTAAGGGTGTTGGATTCCCACATAGCTAACCACAGTTCGAGTGTTGGACCTGGCAGCTTTCCCTTTCTCTCTCTCTTTCTCTCTCTCTCTCTCTCACACACACACACTCTGTCCCTCTCTGGTCAAATTTAAATAAATAAATAAAGTAAAAAAAAAAGATTTGTCTGTGATCATAGGTCTAGTTGCCTTTACTCCCCTCTCCTTGCAAAGGAAATGCCAGTACTATCATACACATATCTTTTTTTTTTGGAGAGTTTTTTTTCGCTATAGGGCGCGTGCGCTCGCCAGAGAGACAGAAAGCGAGAAATCACCCCCCAGGGGGGATGGTCATGCTGCAATCCCTTCTCCTCCATTCGCCTCTCGTGATCTTGAGCACGCACGCACCCACATGCGCCCGGTGTGAGTTTTAAGCCACTGGGTCTGGGACGCGAACTGCGGTCGACTATGTGGGAGTCCAGCGACATAGCCATTACGCTAACTGCTGGTTCCCTCTTTTTTTTTTTTTTGAGAGGTTTTTGCTGTAGGGCGCATACACTTGCCAGAAAGATAAAGTCAGAAAGTGAGAAATCATCCCCCAGGGGAATGGCTTTGCTGCAGTCCCTTCTCTATTCTCCTGTTGGGACCTTGGGCATGCACTCAGATGTGCCCAGTGTGAGTTTAAGCCACTGGGTCTGGGACTCGAACCACGGTCGACTAAATGAGAGTCCAGCGACATAGCCATTACTCCAGCTGCTGGTCCCAGTCATACACATTTTTTTTTTTGGACAGGGCGTGTGCGCTCGCCAGAAAGAGTGACACAGAGTGATAGAAAGTGAGAAATCACCTCCCAGGGGGGATGGCCACACTGCAATCCCTTTTCCTCCATTCTCTCGGGATCTTGGGCACGCATGCACACGCACCTGGCTTGACTTTTAAGCCACCGATCTGGGACTCGAACCGCCGTCGACTGCATGGGAGTCCAGTGACATAGCCATTATGCTAACTGCTGGTCCCCATATGCATGTTTTTAAGGGGAAGTGAAACTCAAGATAGAATAAAAGAGTTGAGAAGTAATCTGAAGCTTGAATGTTGGATTTTAATAGATGAAAAGGGAAAAAAACTTTAAATTCATATATTCAGATGTAAAATACTAAATGTTGTTATAATATTTCTTTCCTAGAGGACAAATGCAATATATGCTAAGTAGAGAGATGGAGAGGAGAAAAAAACCACTCATAGGAGTGGTCACACCACAATCTATTCTACTCCATTTCTCCCTTCTTTGGGAAATTTGGGAACGTTTGCACATGTACCCAAAGTGTTTCTAAAGGTACCAGGTCCAGCATTGAACTAAGCGTTCCACTATGTGGGATCTGGTTACTCTTAACCACCAGTCCATGGAGTTGGCCCTTGTATTGGTTAATTTCTGGTGCAACCCTTCAGCATTCCCATCATATGAAGTAAATAATAGAGAAATTCTTTGTGTGTCACGTGTCTGTTTTCGGCCAATCAGAAGTCAGGGTTATTTTGTATGTAATAATAGGGTTTATTTGTAGAGGAGCCTTAAGTAGGACTTGGAGGATATAGGGGGCTGCATATTAGGGCTTCTTAGTTGTAGCAGAAAGAACATTTGTCTGGTGTGTGTAATTTAACATTTAAAGATTTTGAGTTTTGACTCTAGAAATGTACAACCCTATCTTTTCAATTACAGGTTTTAAAATAATTTTCATTGTTAATACTTAAGATACAGCACTGATCACTGTTTTTGCTTTTGATGAGACATTTTAATGGGCTGTGAAGGAAAAATTACCAGGTGTTAAGGGAGAGAGAATTTTATGAAATGTCTTCAAGATTTCCATCACCTTCTCCACCTGTTTGCCTCTCACCGGAGCCAGTTGATTTAGGTTCAATAACAAGTTCCTCTTGTTCACTAAATGAGCTAGACAATATTTCCCACTTGTTAAGGAAAATATCAACGGATATAAATGAAATTAAGGGAATGAAAACAGCAATTTTGACAGTAGAAGCAAGCCTTTTTGATTTAAATGTTAGGGTGTCACAGAATGAAGCCAAACTATCATCTTTGGAGGTTAAAATGAGTGAATATTCATCATCAACATCTGAATGCAACAGACAGTTTGAAGATCTTCAAGAGGAAATAGATTTTGAATCACAGTCAAGGACTACTGATGTAAAAATAATTGGTTTCCTTAGAAACATTGAGAAAGGTAAAATGCTTAGCATATGACATCCTCTAGGTACTTTTCCTCTGATCTCTTTCTCTCCACATATCTTAACTGGAGCTCTGGGAAGGAGGCTGCAAAACATAGAGAACTTGAATTTTTCATGGGCCTTGAAAGACAGATTTGGACTTTATGCGATTTAGCTAAAAAACGAATTTTATCAGAATTCCATCCTCTTTAGTGGGACTCTCCAAAATGATGATTTGAAAAGATAGAGATGAAGTAAAACTTGAAATGTGAGAGAATGGTCTACTTTCTTGCCAGTTGTGTGAAATTATTTTAAAATGTGTATTCTCTCGGTTATGGTTTATGTTAAAAGATCTATTGTAGTAACTAGCTATCTGGATTGAGAGAACATTCTTCAATCAGGCTGTACCCAGCACAGTGCTTAGCAAGTATTAAGTAAGCACTCACTGACTTAGAACAGAAGGGTTACACTTCAGCACACAAAGGGATGCAGGCTGTCCCACAGGAATATGACTTGAACACGTGCTATCTGGTTTCAGTCTATTGCTCAAGGTTGACTCTTTTTGCCATAGTATTAATAATTTGATGAGTTGCCAGTGTTCTTTGGTCCTACTGCTTATAAGTAATATAGTGTAACTTAGATTTTAAAAGAAAATACTGGTGAAATTTCAAATTGAATATAGTGTTTTTTTTTGGAGAGGTTTTTGCTATAGGGCGCGTGTGCTCGCCAGACAGACAGAGAGACAGACAGAAAGTGAGAAATCACCCCCCAGGGGGGGATGGTCACGCCACAATCCCTTCTCCTCCGTTCTCCTCTTGGGATCTTGGGCATGCACACACACGGCCCGGTGTGAGTTTTAAGCCGCCAGGTCCGGGATGCAAACCGCGGTAGACTACATGGGAATTCAGCGACATAGCCATTATGCTAACTGCTGGCCCCCAAAATTGAATATAGCTTTTAAAATTTAAGACCACCTTGAATGTGGTATGATGCTTGGCAAGAGATCGCCTGCCCCTGTGCTTATACCGAGTGAGCAAAGCTTGCCTTGGGAAACCACTGAAACAGATAACTAGAAGTTAGCATGGAGACATCTGGTATTTCAGTGTTTGGAACCCTACCAAGTGCATCCCTTTGTGTGCTGTAGTGTAACGCTTCTGTTCTGAGTCAGTGAGTGCCTAATACTTGCTAAGCACTGTGCTGGGTACAGAGAATTATAGTACCCTCTCACCTTGAAAGAGTTTTCCATCACATTGAAGGTAGAGAAAACCAGTTTCTCATCCCTCTTTTTGTAAGTTGGGAATGTGGTTATTAAGTCCTGTTAATGACCCTAATATTGGGAGTTGCATAATGAACCTCTTAAGTAATAAATACTTTCACTGAGCATCTTTTCTCATAGACGATCTAGCCAATATTTTATGCTTTGCTGGCGTAGGGCCTGGACTGCACAGGTCTGAGTGCCCTTGTTCATTGTTCTCTCTGCATCCACTCAAACCCATGGTTGGTCTTTTGGGAACTCCATGATCAGATAACTCTAGAGGGTTTGCTTCACAATTCTTATGTGTTTTGTTATTTTCAGAGACGGCAGGGTGGGAGAGTGGTGAGGTCCTGAATGACAGAGGGAGGTGCTTGGCACATTTCTGGTGTGGTTGATTGGGACCACATTCTAGCAAGAGCTGCTGGTCCCACAGGTACCTTCCTGGGCTTTTTTCCTAACCTTTTAGCTTTACTTGTAACCTAAGAAAACTGGTTTCGTAACAGAGGGAAACCCAGGAGTGTCCTGTGTTGACATTTTTGGTTTAACTCTGAGCACAGCTTTTTGTCTTACAGGGTATGCTTTTGGCCTGCAAATATTAGTAATTGTGTTGTTGGAGATTACAAGTTACTTTTTTAAGACTTTCAAGTAAGAACTTGATTAATTTCTGGGAAACACATGCTGGTATATTTACTAGAGTTTTGCAATTTGTATTCTAGGAACTCAACAGAGGCAATTATTATCCCGACTGCAGATTGACCCAGTAATGGCAGAAACTCTGCAGCTCAGTCAAGGTTGGTGGATGTTTATATTTCCACTGCAGTCTAGCAATTTTCAGTTGCCATTTCCATTCTTACACCTCATTTAATGTATCTTTAATCTCTTAGATCCTGCCCTAAGATGCTATATTTGGAAACTCTTAGGGCCAGGAGATAAGACCTGCGTTTTCTTCATGTTATGTGGTATTTTTTTGGCTTATTGGAAAATTTTCTTTTTTTCATGCCATTCTACTTGAGTACCTGGCACCTGTTGGCTCACTTTACTGCAGTTGAGAATGACTTAAGTCCCTAACTTAACTGTCATTCGATCTGACTTTTGCTATTGCCCTGACCTGCTTTAGTATCCTGTATTGATTATTCAGCCTTATCCTCTCTTTTACTTCACTTTAGATACTTATCACCTGCCACAGCTAGAACTTGTTCTAGAACCACTGTGATATAATTGTGTACCTGTCTGTCCCATTTCCTCCCTCTCCCCACCTCCCATATATTGAAAGGTACTTCAGGACAGAGACTAGGCCTTGTTTATCTTGGTGTCCTTGGGGTCCCACCCCTGCCAGATGCATGTTCAATACATAAGTAACTGTTGAGTGCTGCAACTTCTTTTCTCCTCCCTCCAGTCCTCAAGTCTGGCCTTTCTTAGAAACCCACATCCCTTTAGCTGCTTCCTGAATTTCTTTTGTCCTCTATCAGGACTTCCCCATCAGTAACTGTCCTTCCTGACCATCTCCTGGCTTCCGGTCTCAGAACGATGCACTTCTCGTCTCTCAAAGTCAGCCTGTGCCCAGATGCCAGGTGCTCCCCTTCTGAGTGTCATCATGTTGCCATACTACTCTAACTTAGCTCTGCTTCTCCCCTGGCTTATCCTTCCTACCTGTCAACATGTGGAGATGCGTTCCATCTTTTGTTTTGACATCTTACCTTCTGACTTTACATTCTGCTCTCTACATGAGTATTTTGTTACAGAGAGTTTGGCAGCCAAGGTCTGTGACTGTCGTGTTGACCTCATCAGCTTTAGTACATTCTTTCATTTTCTTTAGTTTTTTTTTTTTATAACTATTTAATTTTATTCATTGTCATTATTTTATTTTATATTTTTGAAGTTGACCAGAGACGGACAGAAGGGGAGTGAGAAAGCAAGCTACCAGGTCCAGGATTCGAAACGTGGTCAGCCATGTGGGAATCCAGCAGCTTTAACCACCATGCCAACCTGCTGGCCTCTTAGTTTTTCTTTTTATCTGTAGTACACATACAGTTTGAAGTGTTAAAGAGCTCTAGAAGGCTTGTGAATGACTACAGTTCTTAGTTTACCTCCCATTATGTTTTTTTTTGTTCTTTTTTTTTTTTTTTAACTTCTGAGAGCCCTTCTGTTTTGCATGTTGCAATTTTTTAATGTACCGATTGTATTTCTTGTATGTAATTCATTTTTGTTACGTCTCTGAAGGTCTTAACAGGTTTTGTTTTGTATTGTTTTTTGACATTTCCCCTTTCTCTTTTTGGTCTAGTTTTCTCTGAGTGGTTTGTTTTGACTGTCTTTCATGATAGAGGTTCTCAGATGTGTAAAGTTCCTGTTTTTGTGTGTGTGTGTGTTTTTTTTTTTTTTGAGAAGTTTTTGCCATAGGGTGCGTGCACTCGCCAGAAAGAGAGAAACAGAGACAGAAAGCAAGAAATCACCCCCCAGGGGTGATGGCCACGCTGCAATCGCTTCTCCTCCATTCTCCTCTTGGGATCTTGGATATGTACACACACACGCCCGGCGTGAGTTTAAGCCACTGGATCTGTGACTTGAACCACAGTCGACTACATGGGAGTTGAGTGACATAGCTATTATGCCAACTGCTGGTCCCCCTGGGTTGTTTTTAGGACTGAAGCTGATTGGTGTTCTGGGTTCATGAGTTGGGGTGGAGGATTTTTGACTTCATATTTTGAACATAGATCCTGTGGTGGAGAACCACCCTGGCTACTCTGGTTATGCTTTGTCTCTCTCTCATTTTTTTTTTTTAAAAAAAAGCAAAAACCCTCTTGAAATTTATAGAGAGTTTAAGGAGACCACAAAAGCTAAATGCATGGGTTCAAAGATGTTACTCACTCTCCCACCCATCTGACCTCCCATGATCAGCGGCTCATTTAGAATGGTTTCCTAAACTGTAGCATGCAATGCTTACATCCTCATGTTTTCATCTGTCATAGATCCTTTGGCTATCAGGACTTCAGTTTCTGTTCTTATTCCTTTTCTTTTTTATAGGTTTTTGCCATAGGGCATGTACACTTGTTGGAGAAAGACAGTGAAAAGAAAAATGACAAATCATTTTTCCCTCAAGCGGATGGCCACTTCACAGTCCTCTCTACTTCATTCTCCTCATTCCTTTTCATCCCCCCCCCTTTTTAAAAGAGAGATTTTTGCTATAGGGTACGCACACTCACCAGAGAGACAGAGACAGACAGAAAGCAGGTACTCATGGTAGGGGGGGCGGGTAGCCACACTATAATTCTTCCTTCACCACTCTCCTCCTGTGATCTTGGGCATATACGCACACATGCCCAGCATGACTTTTTTAAGCTTCCAGGTCTGAGACTGTGGATGACTATGTGGGAGTCTAGTAATGTAACCATTGCGCCATCTGCTGGTCCCTATTGTTTTTTAAAAAATATAATTATTAATTTTTGGTTTTTCCCCAGAGAAGATTTTGTTACAGGGCATGTGTGCTCGCTGGAGAGACAAGAGAGACAGTAAGAAGTCACCCTCTGCAGGGATGGCCACAGCACAATCTCTTCTCATGTCTCCTATCAGGATCTTGGGCACACATGCACACGTGCCCAGCATAACTTTTAAGCCTCCAGGTCTAGGACTCAAACCGTAGTCAACTTCGTGAGAGTCCAGCAATGTAACCATTACGCTGTCTGCTGGTCCCTATTATTTTTTTATTATTATTGAATTTACTATAGGGAGACCAGTGGATGACATGGCAGTTAAAGTGCTAGACCTACTGTGGTTTGAGTCCTACACCTGGTGGCTTGCTTTCTCAATTTCCTTGTCTCTCTTTTTCTTTCTCATCAAATTGAAGAATAATAATAAATAACATTTATTTATTTAATTTATTATTTGCTATAGGCTATGTATATTCACTAAAGAGAGATAGATTTAAAGAGATAGAGGGAAAGTGAGAAAGCAAGCTGCCAGGTTTGGGACTCACTGTGATCGGCCATGTGAGAACCCGGTACCTTAACTACCATACCATATGCTAGTCCTATTCCCCTTTATTATCTTCATCATGCCCCTTATAGTGTCAGCTTTACCCTGTGTCCTGCCCTCAGCATTATCATCCTTTCTTCTGTATTCTCCCAAGGTGTGAAGTAGTAGAACTGCTTTACCTCAGAAGGTGTACGGCAGTGGATCGGGATGTAGCAGTACCCTTGGCCCAAATACTAGACTCCACTTCACCTAGCCACTAGTAGCCTCAGCCATTGAAGAAGTTTTTTTTTTTTTTTAATGCCAGAAGGGTGTGCATGTGTGCTTGAAAAGGGTGAGGAAAAAGGAAAGGAGAGGAAAACACCACCACCACCACCCACTCCCCCGTGGGTCTTCTTTGTCCTCCACATCTCTGCCATCCCATCAGGGTCCTGGATTTAATTGTACACACCCAGTGTGTTTTTAAGCACTGGGGCTAAGACTTGAACTCTAGTTGGCCATGTGGGATCCAGCTTCTGCTCAGTACCTAACCACGGCACTCTGGGGCCAGCCCCCTTTGAGAACTTTGAGCTACATGTTGGTCATCTGTAACATAGAAGAGAGAATCTGCATTGTCTGATTAAGGACTCAGTGAGAGGTGGCAACACTGAATGCATCTAGTTAAACGCTCTGCTTGACCTTCTTTTTCTGACTCTGCCCCTCTATTTCTCTCCCCTTCTTGAGGGTCAGATCTGAATTTTCACTTGAAAACATGTGAGAGTTCCACGAAGACTATAAACAGATAAATCTAAGCAACAGAATGTTTACCTTCTCCCTCTTTTCAATCTGTTCCTCCTCTTTGCTGTGTTTCCTATTTCAACTTCTCGTCCTCCTGCTGGGGGGAGGCAGGCCTGCTCCCTCCTGAAAAGCTGCTTGAGAACTACAGCGGTTGTGCGTGGCTGGTGGTGAGTGGTGAGTGACGTGTTGATAGGAGCAGAAATTGGTCTTCTCACCCTCTTGTGTGTGTTAGGTTAAGAGTAGGACTGAGAATGGAGATTTTTTTTGTTTGTTTTTTTGAGAGATTTTTGCTATAGGATGTGTGTGCTCTCCAGAAACAGCAAGAAATCACCCCCCAGGGGGATGACCACACTGCAATCCCTTCTCCTCCATTCTTCTCTCAGGATCATGGGCACATATGCACACATACACACATGCCCAGCATGAGTTTAAGCCACTGGGTCCAGGACTCGAACTGCGGTTGACTACATGGGAGTCCAGCAACATAGCCATTACTCCATCTTCTGGTCCCAAGAGAGTGGAGAATCTTTGAATTTAGGATGTTACCATCTCTCCTGGATAGCAGTCTCTTAGCAGATCTAGGACTCCAGTCCTTTTTTAATACTTTTTTGCCAAAAACAACTTGATCATGCCACTCTCCTTAGGAACCTGTTACGATTTCTTACTGCTTTAGACCAGAATCCCAAGACTTTGAGATATGGAAGATCCTTTATCATATGCCTCAAGTTTCCTCCCACTCACCTGCCCTCACCACGTTTGTCTCTTTTTTTTAAGAGGTATTTTTGCTGTAGGGTGCGTGTGTTTGACAGAGACAGAAAGCAAGAAATCACCCTCCAGGGGGTATGGCCATACCACAGTCCCTTCTCTTCCATTCTCCTCTCTGGATTTTGGGTATGCATGCACACGCACTTGGCATAAGTTTCAAGCTGCTGAGTCAGGGACTTGAACTGTGGTGGGCCATTTGGGAGTCAAGGAATGTAACCATTACGCCATCTGCTGGTCCCACACACCACCTTCTCTACCTGTGAAAGCACCTACCTTTTCACATGTGTCTTCCTCTTCCTGAAGTGCTCTCTTCACTCTGTACTCACACTCTCTCAGTTTATTCCCACCCATTCTTTTAATACCTACTTGGATTGTTCATTCTCACAAACCCGTCCTGGATTTCCGAGCCAGAGTTAGTTGCTTCATAGTTTGTGAATATCTGTTTACACTCCTTTTGGGTCATGGTTTTGAGGAACTGTGTTTTTTGTCTTATTTTCTTTGTGTACCTAGCAGAGTACTCTCGGTTCAGTAAATATTTGTTGAGTGAATATAAATGAATATCCTCTGAATTTTGATTCTTACTATTTATCTCTTTGAAAGAAGCACATTAACTTGAGTCAGTTGGTAGCATATCGATAGGTCAGCCATGCAAGTCTCTGCATATTTTATTAAGTAAGCGGGCTTAGAAGGATATTGTAGATTGTGATTATTTGCATTGGTGGTCAGTGTTCTCCTTGCTATGTGTATATATTTTTTTTTTTGAGAGAAAATTTTATCATAAAATCCCTTTAAAGTAGCTATCTATAATCAGGTAGAAATTATCTAGCTTGAATGCTTTTAATGGGCCTGTTCTCCTCTGTAAGTGGTACTGTGCAAAATGAACAAGACACATTTTAGAAAAGTAGTTCAACAGTCTGTGTATCATAATTCTAGGGAATATTGGAACTCTTCAATTCTCATGTTTTTAGAAAAGACTTGAACTATGTGTATGTATTGTTAACATCCCATTAGATGCCTCACTGGAGAACCTGTCTACTGTGGGCAGGGAAGGGAGTTATTAGAACCACTTGTAATATGCCCTATGAGGAAAGGACTGCCTGAGTTCCTGGAAAAGAATCTTGAATATATAAGATTTGACTTTCTTCTCACATGTTTGATGTTGGGAATGCAAGGTATATTCAGAAGTAAACATTTGTGGCCAATTTTTTTGGCTCAGATTACTATGACATGGAATCCATGGTCCATGCAGACACAAGATCATTTATTCTGAAGAAGCCAAAGCTGTCTGAGGAAATAGTAGTGGCACCAAACCAAGAGTCGGGGATGAAGACTGCAGATACCCTTCGGGTTCTTTCAGGACACCTTATGCAGACACGGTAGATGGTTTCTTTTTCTTGTGTAGCTCATTGTGTGATTAGCTAGTGCAGGGTAACCACTAGTCCCCAGCTTCCTTCCCCACCCCGACCCCCAGTGTGTGGAGTGTGTCTGTTTATTCAGTAACTAGCCGAGAGTAGTTAGCCACGTTCCGTTTTTAAAAATTCTAGCTCATCTTTCTTGATTAGAAATCTGTTATCCTACAATAAAAAACTTAGTCTATGACTTAATTTCATTAAGAATCTTTTCTTAGGAACATCCAGAAAATATTTTAAAAGCTGGATGATCAAACTGGGAATGTTTCTAGAGTTAGCAAATTGGGTTTGGGCTATTCTTGCCTTGGAAAATGGATGAAATGTTCTGTAAAGGAAGAGGTAATTAAATTCGGTAAATGCGAAACTGCTGGCCATTGTATTCTGAGCACTGATGCTAATTTTTTTAATTTCAGTGTTGACTCTATGAGATTCAGATGGATGATGGGGTCAGGATTGAAGGGAGATTGCCCTTAGCAAGTGCAGGCTGAAGGGGCACTGGAGTTGATGTCACAGTGACTGGCCATGGCCATCCTGTGTTAGCAGGGATCCACTAACACTGGACCTGGAACTTCTACCAAGATGCTTTATACTGAGCCACACGCAAAGCAAGGGAGTGATAGTTCTGCTAAAGAGCACTGTAGGAGGCTCAGCATTTTGTATTTGTTTCCCTAATTCTATGGTATTTTTTATCTGTCTGGCAGAGATCTTGTACAACCAGATAAACCTGCAAGTCCCAAGTTTATAGTGACGCTGGATGGTGTCCCCAGCCCCCCAGGATACATGTCAGATCAAGAGGAGGACATGTGCTTTGAAGGAATGAAACCCGTAAACCAAACTGCAGCCTCAAGCCAGGGACTCAGAGGTCTGCTCCACCCTCAGCAGTTGCAGTTGATGAGCAGGCAGCTTGATGACCCAGATGGTAGCTTTGCCAACGGTGTGTTGAGAGTGCAGATGTTCCCCTCCCGGGGGCTTCAGCTTGTTTCTCTACCACGAATGAGCACTGGTGTCAGGCCTGCCTTTCTCTTAGAGGCAGTGATGGCTTTCCTCCTTTCAGACAAAATCACCAGTGCCATGTTAGACTGTTAATTTGTTTTGTAGGTGGGCTCTTATTACTGTGCTGAAATAGAGTTCTGCTGTGGAATTCTCTTGTGTTCATTAAATGGTGAACCGTTGTTCTTGATGCCTTGGGTACCTCTTTTTTCTTGAGAGACTATACTGTCACTTTCTTTATGTGTAGCAATAGTCTCTCTGGTAACTGATGTGAAAAAAAAATCCATTTGACTTTTGATGCTATTTCTACCTGTGAAATGTAAAGGAATTTGTTACCTAATCTGTTAAGATATCTTTGGGAGTGTAGAAAAGGCACTATGTTTAATGTGGAAGACGTTAAACATAATGTTTTAACAGAACACGGGTGAACCGAGTTCAGAGAGCACCATGCTTTTGGGTAGGTACGTGTTTTTTTTTTTTTTGATCACGGCTGCTTCTCTTACTGAATCCCAGCAGCAGTGGCAGCGGCAGCACCACTGATCATTTTCATTCATGATGCAGAATGGTAATCCTGCTTCTCAGAACTTCTGAAATTTTTAGAAACATCTCTTCATTGGCTGGCAAGAGAGAATTATAGATTCTTGAAAGTCTTAGCATTTGAAGAAACACAGTAATGGGTTTTGAAAACTTTCCCAGGTAATCCTTTTCTTGGCAGAGATAAGAAAATGTATTCATTGCCTTTTTCAGTCACTTGAAAACATAATAGACTTTAGGGAGCAACGGTGAAATAGTGAAGATTATAACGCTGTTATCCCTGAGTGCTTTTCCTGCTGTGTATCAATGGATTAGTGAAGGGAGATGAGAATCTGACCTGATGTATCTATATGTTGATAGACTATGAAGAAAAAATTTTAAAAGAACTGCAGTAGACAGTGTAGGTTTCCTGACCCTGTATATTTTGTCAAAATAATATCTTGATATTCTTGGTTTTCAATTTGGTAGCTTGGTATTTTGGCCCATTAGACCTAATTTTGTTTAATGTTGATGTCAATGTTAGGCTTTATTGGTGTATATATATATAAATATATATATATATATTTTTTTAGTAGACATGACACTATAAATAAAATGTTAGTAAAAATTTTTCTCTTGTATATCCATGCACATGATGTGGTCATCATGGAACAGCTGTGAGGCATGGTGAGCTTCCCTTCCCATGTCTTCTCACAGTTTTGCTGCTGCTCCCAAGGATGAAACTCAGTAGTCATTAGAATGTGGGTGCAGATGGAGAGACTCTTACATGAAAGCCACATAGAGTCTCTGGCCTCTATACCTTTTCCCTCTGAAGGGGGGCGTGTTTGTATGTGTTGAAAATTTGTAGTTGCTTCTGGGTTTTTTTTTTTTTTTTAATGTGATTTTTTTTTTTTTTTTTTTTTTAAAGAGAGATTTTTGTTATAGGGCACGTGCACCTACCAGAGAAACAGAAAGTGAGAAATCACTTTCCGGGAGTCAGGGGGGTGTTTGGCCTTGCCACAGTCCCTTCTCCATTCTCTTCTTGGGATCTTGGGCACATGCACATACACATCCAGCTTGAGTTATAAGTCGCTGTGTCAGGGACTCAAACTGCAGTTGACTACATGTGAATCCAGCAACTTAACTATTACACCATCTTCTGGTCCCTTAATGTTTTAAGAATGCTGCCAATAGCCATCTCCACTGGCCATCATTATGTGGTAACTTTATAACTTTGAATAAAATGTGAATTTGCCAGGTCAGCTGTTGGTATGGTGGTTAAGGTGACTGGATCTCACATGGCTGACTGCTCAGTTCAAGTTCCAGATCTGGTGGCTTGAAAAATATGCTGGGTATGTGTGCCCAGGATTTTGAGAGAAGGGATTGCAGGATGGCCATCCCCTTTGGGGAATTTCACTTTTTATCTGTAGTTCCCCTGCCACCAGCCCCTGCCACCGTCTTTCTCTGGTGAGGGTATGTGTCCGTTAGCAAATTTTTCTTAAAAAGTGAATTTACATCTTGAGACATGAGCAAGAAAAGTTAAAATAGCATAGATAATGTTAGTTGGGAAAACCAGAGGCATGGCTTTTGTGTATGTGATTTTGTATTTCCATCATTAAGATAAACTTTCTTTGTATTTAACTTTTTTGACCAAAGGGCATGCTCAAATAGTAAGCTGTTATATTTCTTCTCTGTGCCACATTAAAAATAGTCAGTAGGGACCAGCAAATGGCACAGTGGTTACATCGCTGGGCTCCCACATAGCTGACCGCAATTAGAGTCCCAGACCTGGTGACTTAAAACTAATGCTGGGCGCGTGTGCATGCCTGCTCAAAATCCTGAGAGAATGGAGGAGAAGGGATTGCAGCCCCCCAGGGGGTTGATTTCTCACTTTCTGTCTGTCTCTCTCTCTCTCTCAAGCAAATGCACATGCCCTATGGCAAAAGTTTCTCAGAAAAATAAATAAAAGTTAGTGAAAGTCATTTATTTTAGCTCTAAAGTGAGATAGAGAAGAGGAAGCACCTCACCATCCCCTCAGCGGGATGCTGTAGTCCCTTCTCCATTTCTCCACCCTGTGATTTAGGGCACATATTGATGCACATGCGGTGTGTTTTTCAAGCTGCTGAGTCCAGGATTTGAATAGCGTGGTCAGTCATGGGGGATCAAGCTCTCTTAATCCATGCCACAGGCTGGCCCTGTTTTTTTATTGAGGTTTTTGCTTTCAGGCACATGAGCTTGCCAGAGAGAGACAGTGAGGGAAAGTGAGAAATTACCCCCGAGGGGTATGGCCACCCCACAGTCCCTTCTTCTAGGTTCTTGGTCATGGACACAGACGCTCCCAGCATGAGTTTCAAGCCACTGTGTCCAGGACTTGAACCGTGGCCAGCCATGTGGAAGTCTAGCAACGTAACTGCTATGTCATCTGCTGGTCCCTATGTTCCTATATTTTAACTTAATACTACTCTCGCATCTATCTATTTTAGTCTGTTTTCCAGCTAAATTGCTCTTTGGTATTCTCTTAAACTCTCTTTTGTGCTGCTTTCTCACAGATCTAGCTGCGTCTGCAGTTTAGGAGGAAAATAAGATGCATTTCTTTGCAAGGATGGCACAAAAAAAAACTTAAACTCTTTCTAGTCCTATCAGATTTTCTATGGAACTAAGAATACTTACTATTATGTCCTAGAGCTAAAACAAATGACTTACTATTTTTAAAGTGGTATAGAGAAGTTATGTAACAGTGCATACTATTCGATGGTACCCCTGTCTGGGCTATATGACTGGATCTGTGTGTCCTGTTCTGTCATGAGGGCAGAAGTTGGGTTGCTGAAGGCATAAGCTAGGTTATGTTTGGTTCCTTCTTTTGCGTTCTTTCCATTTAATCAATCATCAGACCCTAAGGAAGGCAATATTTTCCAATTCTGAGTTACAGAGCCAGGTCTGAACTGCTTGAACCCACACATAAGAAGATTTGAGGAATTCGATTTGAAGTGATGTTTACTTTTGTAAATAGGAATGTGAATCAAAATACATGATGTGATGCCTGTGATAGTTTTTGTTTTATTTTTTTGCTAGGGCTTCTTAGGTTAGACTAGGCTGGCAGGTGTAATTTTATTTGTTTCATGTTCAAAATCTTAATTGGTCACAAGCATTTAACATCTGCGTGTCAAATGAAAAGATTTGGGGCTTATTGGAGAAGGGGAAAATCTGGCAGCCCGGGTCCCACTTTCCCATGTGGTAATGGGCATTGTAATCAGACATGCCATGGGGAGGGAGTGAATGGCAGTGATTCTCGAAGATGCTGTGGACACTTGCTTTTCAAGTTGCTAGTTCCCACCGTCTCTTTCTGGCCCAGCCAGTCTTTCTCTGTTAGGTGACCAGTCTGCCCCTTGTAAATAATAGCTTTTGTAACCCATTTCAAGCAAAAAGGTTTTCCTCCTTCTCAGATGTTGCTGTGAGGTCAGCATCAGGACTTAGAAAACTGAATGTTCTTCAGTGGTGTAGGCACTTGTATTTTGGACCACTTAAAATCTTGTGGACTATGAGAAGTAGTTCACATTTCCTTTTCACCTTGTGTTTTCAGTTCCTATTTAATTTTATCCTCTCCATAATTGACATCCTTCTCTCTCTTCTGTATTTAACTCTGCTCTAAAATAATATTGATCATTAGAATTTCTGGTGAGAACTTTGACCCTGACCGCAGAACTTCTGTTTGCTTCCTTTTCATAATGAGAAGTGCAGGCTCCTTCCTGTAATGAGGAAGAGGTTTCTGTTACCTTTGTTAATTAGATTATTTGGCTCATTTATTAGCTAAACTTAAAAGAACATGAGATTTTAAGACTTGGACTTTAATCGAAATTTGTTAAGGGTCATTAATGAGATACTCTTAATTCCTTTTCCTTTGTAGCTGAGATGAGTGAACTGAATGTGGCGCAGAAACCAGAGAAGCTATTGGAGCGCTGCAAGTATTGGCCTGCCTGTAAGAATGGGGAGGAGTGCGCTTACCATCACCCTGTTTCACCTTGCAAGTAAGTCACAGCAAACTACTCCTGGTGTTCGGTTTAATTTCTGCATCTCATGGCTTACTTTTCTTTTTTAAAAAATATTTATTTAATTCCATTTGTTAGTAGTAGTAATATTTTTTATTTTGATCAGAGAGAGAAAGGGAAAGTAAGCAACCAAGCCGCCAGGTCTGGGACTGAAATGCAGTCAGCCATGTGGGAATCCAGCGCCCTTAACCAACATACCACCTGCTGGCCCCTCATGGTTTACTTTTCTGTGGACTGGTTTGAGTTTTATAACAGCCATTCCATTCCGCAGGGCAACATACTTCTTTGTACGCATGTTGTTGGAGAGGTGCCTTGTCTTCCCAGCCTTTGAGATACTGACAAATCTAGATTTTTCCCAAGGATTCTGTACATTTAAGGGGATAGGTATGTGATAACTTCCCCAGGGTGTATGCATTTTGTTCATATACAAATACACAGATTACAAGGAGTTGAAGGAAAAGCCATGAATAATGAGAAGATATTTTGGACTTGTTTTAATTACTTTATCAGCTGCTGGTTAATTATCTTCTTTATCATTTGCTGCATAAATATAATGAGCTTTGTGAAATGGCTTTTAAAAGAAATTGTTTTTCCTGTCTTATGTAATCTTTGTATTTTAACTTCTTTAAGGAAATCTTGGTGTGGGAATCATATGGTTGACATAGTTGGTGGGGTTTTTGTGGCACTATTCCATGCAGAGAGGGTGTGTGTACTGTATTGCATTTATTTCACAAAATGTAGACCTCGTTTACAAAGTGGTGTGATTCTTACCACAATGCAAGCTTCTCCCTTCTGTGGTGGCTTGGTTTGAGTTGAAAACCTGATTATGTTTTCCAGATTTTGGAATAAACAGCTATATCTTATTTGGAAATCAGGCCTCATTTGAAATGGAAGTGTTTTTTTTTAAAAACTGATACTTCTGCATTTCTCAGAACATACAGTGATAGAGTATAAGGAACTCTCCTGCAAAAAATAATAATGATTGAGAAGATTAACTATGAGTAATGTGCTTTTTTTGTTTTGCTTTGTAGAGCCTTCCCCAATTGTAAATTTGCTGAAAAATGTTTGTTTGTTCATCCAAATTGTAAATACGATGCAAAGTGTACTAAACCAGACTGTCCCTTCACTCATATGAGTAGGAGAATTCCAGTACTGCCTCCAAAGCCGGGTGAGTGATTCTGTGCACCAGCTGCTTTTGTGTGGAAAACAGAAAATGACATTTTGTGACTCTGAAGGGAATTAAGACAAAAAAAAAGAATAGTTTTAGAAATAGTTTGACAGGATCACTCAACCTACCAAACTTTTAAAGGCAAACATCCTCCTACTATGTATTCTGAAGTACTTTATATTGACTAATGGATACAGAAACTTTACCATTGTACTTAAAATGTCCATAAAAACATTATTAGGTTTCATTAAAAGTTATTTTGCCAAACAGATTTAATCACTCTTTGTTCTTTTTTGGTCAGCAGTTACCACACCAGCACCGCCTTCTAGTAGTCAGCTCTGTCGTTACTTCCCGGCTTGCAAGAAAATGGAATGTCCCTTCTATCATCCCAAAGTAAGAACTTTTATTTTTCTCAAAAATCAGTTTAGTGATAACTTCTCAGTTGAAATACTTGATCATAAATAGGATGCTTTTTTTTTACTTCCCTCCTCAGTTCAACTTTTTTTTTTGTCAGTTAACTTGTCTTTTAGACCTTTAAGCTGTTCCTCAGTTGTTCCTGAGAGGCAGATCTCTCCTACTGACCCCACAGGTCAAGTGGCTTGAAACTATTGAATCTTCACATCCTAGGCTGTTGGGAGAGAGAGGTACAACTTTTCTAGGCAGGTTTTCCATTTTTCAAAAACTGCCTGAATATGTGAGTGTTTGGTTTTTAAGTTTGTACTAGAGCTGAGGTGATGAAATCCAGTAGTACTGCTTATTACTGTCCACACTTCTTCTAATGGTTTCAATTGTCCATGTGCTAAAAATTGGTTAATGTAGCTCTAGTTGTTCAGATGCTGAATGATCGATCTTTCTGAAATAGCAGCCTATTAGTGAAGGCCACAGAAAAGGCCTTCACTCCTCCCAACTCTCACTGGACATAGATGAGGGTACCCAGTGAAGAGAATAAGGAATGATGGTTGGGCAGGGTGCACAAGGATACTTACTATATTGATGAGAAGTATCACATGCTAAGGTTCCTTTTGAAATTTGACTTTTTTTTTTGACTGGGATTTTGTGTTTTAAGAGGGAGGTTCCTCTTTCAAGACTTTCAGTAGTACTATTGTGATCCGCCCCCCTCTGAGGTTTTTGCCATATGGCCTGAGCATTTGCCAGAGATAGATAGGGAAAATGAGAAATCATACCCACCCCCTCCTCCAGGGGCGATGGCTGCACTGCAATCTCTCCTTCTCCCTTCTCCTCCTAGGATTTTGGGCATGCATGCACACATGCCTGGTGTGATTTTTCAAGGCACTGGTCTGGAATTCAAACTGCTGTTAGCCATCTAGGAGTCCAGCAATGTAACCACTATGCCATCTGCTGGCCCCAGTGGTACTGTTTTAAAAGGGACATTACAACAGGACCTCTTAAGCTGTTAATGCTGAGAATGGACTGGTTTCCATCATCTCACATTGTTGTCTGTTTACTTGTATTAGCTTTGCAGTTATTGAAGTTCTGTTCTCTCTCTTCAGCACTGTAGATTCAATACTCAGTGTACAAGACCGGACTGCACGTTCTACCATCCCACCATTACTGTGCCACCACGACATGCCTTGAAATGGGTTCGACCTCAAACCAGGTAAAGATGAACATTAGTTTTTCTAATGGTCATTCTAAAATGCTTTTCTAATATGTAGTTTCTTAAACTTAGAAGTGCATAAATTTTGGGGAAACGATACTGCCACTTTATTCTTATTTGCTGTTTAATTGTACAAGGGCCCTTGGGCAAAGTAATTTAGTACATGGACCACATTTTGGCTTGTCCAGCAATTAGCTTGCAGGTGCTCTAGGCAGAATCAGAAAAAGGGATACAGCCCCTCAGTGGAACATGGTCACACCACAGTTCGTCCTCCATTTCTCTATCCTATTAGAACTTTTGATGTGCACACGTAAACTCCCAGTAGGTTTTTCAAGCCACCGTGCTGTGACTTGAACTGTAGTTTACCATTGTGAGATCCAGTTCCTTTTACCCTTTAGGCTATAGAGTCAGACTAGTGATTTTATCTAGATCATCTCTACATCAGCTTGCTTTTTTTAACTTTTGATTATATACTAAGGCCAGCAGGAACACATTTGTATACGTGTGTGTCTCAAATTTTCTTAGACATTAATACCTATAAAATATCAGAAGGAAGTTTCAGAATATTAAACTTAATCGCACTTTATCTTTTCATCTGCCTTATATAATTTTAAAAATCTGATATACTCTGGTGACCAAATAGTATCTAAAAACATAAAACTTAGTTAAGGTATTTATGAATAGAAAGCAGTTACTTAAATTTTTTTGTTCTGTTTATTTAGTGAATGACCCAGTCCTACCTGGCAGAAGATCATGCAGCTTGAAAGTTTCCATCTACTGATAAAAGATATCCTACACAACTTGTCAAATCTTTGAAACTTGGAATATATTGCTTTCATAATATGAAGTTTATTGCCTATTTGAAGTGTCTAATTTTTCAAGTTTGTAAGTTTATTAAGTGGTTTTAACATTGGGTGTCTTTTTTTGTTGTTTTGTTTTTACTATGAAAAGACAGTTAAAGGAAAAGCTAAATCTATTAAAACATTTGCGGCACGTTTATACACTGCTCTCTCAAGTATCAGCATCCGTGTGTGCTGTCACTGTCGGTGGGTCCTGCAGTTCAGGGCTGCATCGCTTCTGTGTGTCTAGAGAGCTGTAGTGAGAGGTCAAGTTTCTTCATTTTAAAAGCTGAATTGCTGCTCTCACTTTCCCAAAGATTATTTAATGTTCATAATCCACAAGGAGAACGGGAGTGGCTGAAAGTGAGGTGGCTCGAAATAATCATTTGATTATTTTTCAATTTTTTAAATAAATTTAGTTGAGAAATTTAACAACAGAGGCCCCTCCAGTTGAGTGCCACTTCGATAAAATGGTCCCCAGGTCCCCTCCCTTCTGTGAAAAGATTAGTGTGGTGAGTGAAAAAGAATTGGAATAGCAAGTGCAAAAAGATAGGAACAAGTCCTTAAAATGACTTCATTTACTATTAATAAATGCTTTTTTGAATAAATTTTTTTGGGAACTACATTATCACAAAATTATACAAAATTTTTTACAAGTATATACATTATCAGAAAACAGACTTGAAACTCACAGGTTTATAAATAGACATATATATTCTCACATTCTGAAAAATAACATTCTCAGAAATAACTCCACAGAAAATATACTTAGTTACTACTGAAGATAATTTTGAAATGTAAAAATTAGAGTTAAATAGTATATTTTAAATGACAGAACTATATAATTACAGATATCAGATGGGTAAAGCGCAAAATAGGACAAAACTTTTGGCCTACTGTATCGGAGTTTTTTGTGTGTGGTTTTTTAAATTGTTAAGGCAAGAAGTGTCAAATGCTTTAGAATTAAATAACAAACAGATCACTGATTTTAAAGACTTGATGTATAGTAGTATTTTTCAAAATTAAAGCTTGAAAGGTAGTTAGAAAAGAGCGAATTAATATAAAAGGGGTAGTAATAAAGACTCAAACGTTCTCAGGACCAAATTAAACTTTAAAAAAAAAACAACTTGTTTAGTCATATACCCAAAGGATAATACATCTATGAATGTAAAAGTCCATGTTTAAGATCGTAAAGCCAGCAGCGTACTGTTTTGTGGCTATTGCTTTTCCATTGAGAAGAGTTAACCGGTCATTAAACCATTTGGTGAGTTGCACTTTGCTGTGCTGATCTGAAAAGTGAAGACTCACATCACAAGAGGAGCAAAGACAAAGTGCACAGGAGCATAAAGCTATTGTGTTAGGCTTGGGTGAAATGACAGTTCCACGTCATTCTCAGTGTCTCTGTTGAATTTAAGGCATTTTGTTTATTCCACTACTACTTGAGATGCTTTGTGTTTCTGCAGAAGAAATTTGTTTTAAATTGCTTAAATTTCTGGAAATACAAACTTTTAACTATCTTTTACAAATGGTATATAATTTTGTTTGTATAGTTCCACTGTAAAGAACATAAATGGAAACAATGGCTTATTAAATGGTTTAGATCAGCCATTGTAAGAGGAAGGTAGCATGTTAACATCTGGGGTTTTAGCTGTTTTAGCTGTTTAATAGACACTGCCTGGAAACATTTATCTTTCAGTTGTTATGGTTTATGGACAAGCTAAGGTTGACCAAGAAACATTTTTGGGATAACTTGGTCTGAAATGACTCACAAAAAAAGGATCACAAAAACGGAAGGGAAGGAGCACATTTGGCGATATGTGAGCGGTCCCAGAGCACACTGCTCTTTGACGGGTAACAGACAGGACTCGGAGGGGCCAAAAGTCACAGGTTCAGTAGTTTAAATTCTACAAACAAAAAACAGTTCTCTGGGCTGAAAGAATAAATACAGGGCAGATGGTTTATGACCTGTCATGTCTCTTCATCTTTTCTTAGTTGGTGGCTAGTACAGCAAGGTGGTCATGTGATGACTACTTACAGTGACTTGATCTCAAGTGATGAAACTGACTACAGCAGTAATTAAGGCTGGCTTACCAGCTTGGGCACTCTAAGGGCCAAAAAGTAGGATAGAAGCAATTTTATCCTATGTGGTTTACTTGCTAAAGGTTGTAGAGCGTCTACCTGAACTTTATGGAGATGTGTGGTCAGAATCTGGCAAACTTGACCCAAAGGGACAATTTAAAACTGCAGACTCAAATTTGGAGTCCTTTTTTATATAAATGATGGTAGTTCCAGGTTTTTTTTTTTTTTTTTTATTTTTTTGACTTTTTTTTTTTTTTTTTTTTTTTTTTTTTTAAGATTTTTGCCATAAGGTGTGTGCACTAGGCAAAGAGACAGTGAGAGAAAGAGAGAAATCACTGCCCCCCAGGGAGTATGGCCATACCATAATCCCTTCTCCTGGAATTTTCGGCACACATACACATGCGCCCAGTGTTTCAAGCTGTGGCGTTCCAGGCCTCAAACCGCAGTCATGTGGAGTCCATGACCATAACCAGTATGCCACCTTCTAAAATATATAAATAGAAATTTAATTAGAAATAACAATTTGGCTTAATTTAGGAGAATCCAAGAACCATCTGAAGTTTCAAGCTTCTTAACCTCTTATGTGCCTTTCAGTCTCAGCTATGCAAGAGCTTTCAAACTGACTAGGTTCAATCACTGGTTATGCTTTCTGTGATGTCATTTAGTCTTTCTGGTTTTAGTATTCACAAAGTATTGGGAACAGAAGGTACTAGAAATCGTCTTATGTCCTGTCAAACCAAACTGGAGATTCGGAAACCTGAAGGGAATGTCATCCTACAGAGATAACTAACAGATTTTTAAAAAAAGTCATAGGATCAATAGAGCATCTTAAACTTCATCACATTTAGAAAAATACATTTTTAAATAGCAGTCTACATAATTTCAGTTTTCAGGAAACTACAGATAGGCTAAACATCAAATTCCTGAATGGTTAGTACTGATCTTTGGCAGCATTTAAAGTGAAAAGGAGTAAGGATCTAAGACTTCATCCCCCCATCCACTAAAAAGGAATTCTATTTGATAAATTTTATAACCCGGCCTGGATTCATCATTTTGGAAATTATCCTATGGGGCAGCGTACATCTAGCTAAACCATTTTTTACCATAGAAAACTATAAAATTTTATTCCAAGAATTATGTAGCTTTGTAAATTTGAATTTGTTTTTACTTGTTAAACTTTATATATTACACTGTATCTTTATGCAGTATTCTCTTCCGGTTAAATACTATAGCTATCTAAAACCTTAAAACTATACCATTGGAAACTAGTGTTCACACTGCTATCCCATTAATGAGGCCACTGTCATGTTTTAAATTTCTGGTTTTAGAGATGGTTTCTGGACATAAGAGGGCTTAAAATGAAAAGGTAGCAGTTATATACACTACTAACTTGGGATCTGTTCCTTCATCAGACCTGCCAGGAGGAAGTGTCCTTACAAAATGGATCCCACTGATGCTTAGACATATCTCCTGGGAAATCGTTTTTTTTAGGGAAAAACTGATCCTTTAGGGTGAAGATGGTTTTCCCTTTCCTTACGAAAATGCAAGGACATTTTATTAAGCAGTGAGCCTTAAAAATAAAATATAAAGGACCATTTCTCCTAAAACAAAAATGACAATTATCCAAGTTGGGTTAAGTTTCAGGGTTTTGTTTTTGAGGACTGCTGTACCCTAAATCTCTCCCAAAACTGCACACTCCCCAATAAAGGGAGGTTGGCTTTTACCATCATGAAGTGTTCAGTACTTCCTTGAAATGTGATTATCTGGCAGTGTATGGATTATGGGTGGTTATTCAGTGCATATAGTGAACACTTTTAACTTTATCGATCTACTTTGATGATTCTGGGCATTTCTCCCCATTACAATCTTGGATTAGCACCACTTGACCATGCAAAGTTGTGTTTTGTTTCTTCTCTGTAATTCTGGTCTCAAGGCTGTTATTTTGTGTAGTCTTCTCAGCGTCGGTATCTTTCAGTGAGGCATATGTACACATTTCCAGACAAATAAACTGCAGAGAGAAAAAATGCAGGGAGTTCATTACATTTTTAATATTCAAGATAGTTTAGAGCTTTACAGTTGAGTTTCCAGATTACACATTTATAAAATCTTTGCTCGTTAACTACATTTTGTTCTATATGCGCAATACTGACTAGCTGAGTGCATAAACTATAGAAGTTAATATTAAATCTATTAACTAGAAAAGATCACCTCTTCTATTGGGGCTGAGAAAGTTACTAACCTGCAGTCATCACCTCCAGCACTAATAACATGTCGATCACCACTGGTAAATCGAATATTTGTCACATGGGGTGAATGACCCAAAAACCTTTTGTGCTTTGCCTAAAAAAATAAGAAAACAATGACAGACAAAGTTCAGGGCACTTGATGCACTTCCAAGTCAAAGTTGCTGCTAGGAACCAGGAATTCTATCCACAGCTGGGAGGCGGGGGGTAGAAAGGAGGAGAGAGGGCCACAGCCATCTTGAAAATGCTTTGTCAGAGTCCATGGATCCACATTCAACATGAACCAGGTTATCTGGCCAGATTTCTCCAGGTACTCTCAAAATTTTTCTCTAAAGGAAAGAAAGCATTTGGAATGTGATAACTGATAATACCTTTGGTGAAACGCTGGGACCAGCAGTTAGCAGAATGGCTATGTTGCTGGACTCATGTAGTCGATTGCGGTTTGAGTCCTGTCCCCAGTGGCTTAAAATCACGCCAGGTGCATGTGCATGCGTGCCCAATATCCGGAGAGAATGGATTGTGGCATCGCCCCTGGGGGGTGATTTCTCGCTTTCTATCTCTCTGTCTCTCTGGCATGTGCCCTGTAGCAAAAAAAAAAAAAAAAAAAGAAAAAAAAGAAGATAATCAAAGCTTTATTAACATAATTTCCAAAGATGGTATTTGGGAGGGACGGAGGGAACTTGTTTTTAGTTGGTTTTATTTCATCATGATAATGGATTTAGGAAGTTTGGGGAAAATTTTTAAAATTAAACATGGAATTTTCAAATCAGGAGAAAAAGTTTTAAATATTAAGCCATGGGGGAGCAGGTTGCACGATAGTTAAAGCACTAGACTCCCACATGGCCAACTGCAGTTTGAATCCCAGACCTGGCAGCTTGCTTTAACCTCTCTCTCTCTCTCTCTCTTTCTCTGGTCAAGTTAAAAAAATAATTAAAAAATTAAGTTTTTAAAAATATTAAGTCATGGGGGAAAGTACTAATGACCAGATATTTAGATAGGGAAAAAAATAACAAACTTACAAATTTTTCTGGACATGGGAAGTCAAATAACTTAACCATGCCGAAGTCATCTCCTGTTACAAGGTTGATTCCTGAATGAGACACGCAGGCACAGTTGACATCCGCTTTCTCAGCATGTCGGGACCAGATTCCCGTAACTTCATCTCCTAGAATACTAGGGGAAAGAACCAAGTAAAATCCACCGTAACAAGTACAGACGGGTGCTGAAAGAGCGCAGCAATCTTAAATATCCAATCGTGCTATTTAAAATATCAGAAGTCAGTCATGCTAAGGCAGGTTTGGAGACTTTTCAACTAGATTTTTAACTCCCATCTTTTAAAAAATTATATAATTTAAAGCATTCTTAAAGAGTTAATCATTTTAAAACTCAAGTAACACATTATAAAAGCTGAGAAAACTTTCAAATTAGACGTGATACTTATGCTACATATAGGACTTGATGGCATCTAAAAAGATGGCCAGGAGGTAGCACTGGTTAAGGTAGCTAGATCCCACATGGTCAATTGAATGCTTCAAGCCCCAAATCTGGTTGCAAGTGTGTACGTGCCGAAGATCCTGAGAGGGGAATGGAGAGGGACTGGAGTGTGGCCATCTCTGCTGGGAGGTGATTTCTCATTTTCCCTCTCTGACAAGCTCAAGCACCCTATAACAAACTAGGGGGAAAAAAAAAAAAGATGGAGACCAGTGGATGGCATAATGGTTATGTTGGACTCCCATGTAGTTGACTGCGGTTCAAGTCCCTCCAGGCACTTATTTGAGAGTAGAGGGGAGGAGAAGGGATTGTGGCATGGCCATAAGCACCTGGGGGAATTTCTCTCACTTTCTGTCTCTGGCAAGTGCATGCGCCCTATAGCAAAAAAAACTCTTAAAAACAAAGATACTCAAGGTTACTTAACACAGCCAGCAAACTTGGACAAGTTCATAGGTTTTTTTTTTTTTTTTTTCAAGTTTTAACTTAATTTTTTAATAATTTGACCAGAGAAGTATGTGGGGGTTGGGGGAGTGAGAAAGGAAGGCACCAGGTCCTGAACGCGAACGGTGGTCCGATGGGAGTCCAGTACCCCTAACCAGCGCACCACCTGTTGGCCCCGCTAGCTTTCACTTCTAACAGCTTAAATATAACATTGTTTTAGATGGAAAAATAATACAGTTGCTTAACAGCTCCAAATGTTTCTATAGCCTGCTATCAATGTAAGGAAATTAATTTTAATGTGAGGGCTATGCGCTGGACTCCCATGTATTTGACCGTGGTTCGAGTACCAGACCCAGTGGCTTAAATTCAAGCCAGGTGTGTGTGCGTGTGTGCCCAAGATCCTGAGGGGAGAATGGAGAAGGGATTGCGGCGTGGCCATCCCCCCTGGGGGGTGATTTCTCACTTTCTGTCTCTGTGTCTCTTTCTAGCGAGCACACGTGCCCTATGGCAAAAACCTATCCCAAAAATAATAAATACAAATAAAAGGGTTAACGCAGCAGTAACACAATGCTCTGGAGACTGCCAGAGGTTTCTGGTTTACAACCAGACTTCTGAACCCTGGGCGTGAGCATGCCAACCATCTCGGAGTGGACTGCTGCATGAAAGACACTGTCAGGGGTGCCCTGTGTCTATCTTGCTCATGGGAAAAAGAAAAATAGGGAAGGGGTCCCAGCGTGAACGTACCATTTTCTCTTCCTAAGAATTCAAGACTTGGTAACAAAACCTTAATCCTCAGTTACTATTCCCTAATGGAATGCCTCTAGCAGTTCAGAGGAGGGCTCTTTCTAACCTTCA